TAGATACTGAAAAGCTCTTAGTAATTTTCTTCCTCTCATGGAATTTTTCATCCTCATTGCCTGTAGCACAATGTTAATATTCTTCTGAAGCAACCCTAAGGAAGCTTATGGAGAGTCAAGAAGCTTCCAGTTCAAATACAAAATACACTAGGACGCTTCACGAGTCTACCAGAGTGATTAGAAAAGTTTTTCACAGTGTAAGTCTGTGGTAAAAGCAGGTACGTTTGCATTTAGGCAATGCAATCTCAGTGCAAGTCTGCGATACATTACAGCACAGCGATAGAATCTGTTTTTCTGGCCTTAATCCAATAACAATAAAATTCTCTGAGTAACCTCAATACCTTGGGTTACCCCACTGAGTTTAGCAGAACTGACCTCCTGAACCTTTAAGACATCTATTACGTACTGTGCCCTATCTCTTTAAATATGAAGCAGGCTTTTGATGCCTACAATGACTTCACATGGTGGGAGCCACCACAGCTCTTGTACGGCATTCTGAGTAACAGTAGATGAATTTGCAAACATTTTGATGTTCCAACTAGGTAAGCACCTATAAATGTTACAAAGTATATCCATTAAAACTCCACAATCCCTTCCCTTAAATTGCAACCCTCATTGGTCTCATCAGAGTTAGGTGAAAGAGCAGTAGCTGGCCCTCTCCTGCACACAGAAATATTAAGGGGGAGTATTCACACTTTTTGTATGAAAAATATTCTGACTCTAGGAAATTTACTTTCATCAACAGGATTTTCCAGAGGAAGACAGTGACTTTTCTTACACCTCAAAGAGGATATTTGTGGGCATTTCATGTATACAACCAGAAATCTTGGATTCTGATGAATTCACATACATACCTCTCCTTCTCCCTCTCTCAAGAAACAGCCTTTGTAGTTCTCTCAAAAAAAGCCCTTTGTACTTACTTTTTCATATCAGCAGAGGACTTTCCAAGCTACAGCAATCCTACCTTGGACACTGAAGCCACCACGTCAACAGCAATAGCAAACCAGCATCCTAGGCGTGGAGTATAATGTTGCACCTTTTTAGGTATTATCCATTGCAATGATCCATAGTACAGCATGATTTGAGATTGCTACAAATATGGAATTGGAGTTTATCAACTACATGACAAAGTCTAGGATGCCACTGAAAGAGACAGCAGCAGAAACAGAGACTCAGAGAGTTTCTGAGATAGAAAGAAACTCTCCAAACTGTAAACAAAAGCAAAAAACAAATCAAACTGTCAGATATATGATGATGCAGTACAAGGGTTAAAGTTTCACAATAGCTTATTTAGGCCAAAGTGATTCACCTGTCTATAAAGATCACAAAATAAAATTTGATTGAAATAATATTTTCTATTTCAAATGGTAAAGCTCATCCTAACTGAAGGCTAATTTCAAATTATTGCTTCATTCACTAAAATGACGAGCCTTTGAAAAACAAGATGTCCTTGGGAGACATGCAGGACATAAGGAGAGCAGATGCAATTAGAAGCTCAATTGCAGCATGACCACATGGACTCTGCAGTGGAGAGTATGTGGAAAATATAACCAGATTATCTAAAGAAACTCTAGGACATTGCTTCTACGTGAGCTTTGCTGGCATCTACAACAGTGCATGTAGATTTCCAGGCAAGGTGAAATTATGTTCAAGCAAATTTCTAACTTCAGTTAGCACTCTAATATAATTACAAATGATTTCCCAATAGCTTGTCTACACGATTTAAGATGTAATCCGTATTAACTGCTGCTTTACACTGCAACAACTGCCCTTTTGTTTTGCAGGTATAACACAATGGTGAAATGAAAGCCTGGTTCTGAAGAGAACGCTTCTCAGCAAAATTTGGAGAACATTACAAGTAGCACAGGGGTTGTAAAAGGAAGACAGAAAAATGAGTGGAGTAAAACAACTTTCTTCTGAAACACAGAAGAAAATATTTTTACATTCAATGAAGAAATCTAAAATTGATGCACCTGTAATAGTAGCAATTTTGTAGCAACACAGAACAGATATAACAGTATTTTTCATGTTCAGGAGATGCATTATCTGCTGTGCAAATCAAGAATGGGACTTCCTCTAGGATATAAATATATCAGCATAAATGTCTGAATTGCAGATGCTGAAGGAGAAAGGAGGAGTTTGTCTGCAACACATTTACTCTTATCAGCTGATGCCTCTTTGTGGAACAGGGAAAGCCTACTCTTACTGATGCTCTGCTAATAAGGTTTTCAGCCACAGTGCTTCATATGCAGCCTAGCTTTCCCATCACACTAACTGAAAGACAGAGAACCTTTGTGAGGAGCAACATAAAAAAGGAGCAACATAAAAAGAAACTCCTTGGATTCTTTAAGGTCTGCATTTCTCATTCTTTGCCCTGCTGCCTTGATAAGTTCTCCTGTAGGCATGAACAGAAGGCTTCCTGCTTGATTGGATAGGTAGATGCATCAAAAGTCCATTTGCTATTGTGGATGTACATGAAGGGAATATAGATTTTTATCATTGCCCACCATGTTATTTTGCCTCTCAAAGCAAAAATTCCTCCTCCAGTATAGAACAGGAGGAGATTTGGGGGCTAACGTTTAGCATTATCTGGTGAGTCATCTTCTAATATTTATAAATATCTCTCCTTTCATTATCATGTTAGGCTGGAGAAGTTAGGCTTTTTTTTCTTTTCTTTCAGCAGTATAACAGCTGTGGAAATGGGGGATGGGAAAAATAAGGCCATAAGAAAAAATTCGGTGCTGCAGCTGATCATTCACTGAAGTTCTAGTGAAGCAGAAACAGATTGGGAGACAGCATCCCTCAAAGAAACTGAGGAACAGGGCGGATATATCACACAGTGTAAAATCTGTCACTTCCCCCCTGCCGCCCAGCACAGTCATAGCAAGGAAGAGTAGCACTAACAAGCCTTTGTGTTGGATGCACATGTGAAAGTTTTGAGGGTTGACAGTGGTTCTCCCCAAAGGGATTAAAGAAGTATGAATGATCTCTACAACCTCTATTATCAGATAATTCTTAAGTGTAATAAAGTGGTGACCTGGTTAAACCACATTCCTGTTCCTGGTGTCTCTTTTTTTTGTGGTGTCTGAGATAACAGGGAGATTATTTTGGCATCAATTTAATCTAGCTAAATAGCTTTACTGAAGATCTTTATCACTATAAATAATGGAGGTATTTGAAGTATTTGGTTACACTTCTAACTGAAGTCATCCAAAACAATGCCTCTCTAGCAATCCTCTTCTGCTGTTCCTTCACTCTGTCTGAAGAAAGTTATGAATGTTTTGAACACTTTTCAGCAATAGCTTAAAGGTACAAAACCAAACAAAAAGAAAACAAAACAAAAAAACAACGAAAAAAACCACCAGTTTACCCAAGTCTCTGATGAACATTTTAAAAATATCCATGACAGGTATCATGCAACATGGCAAAGTGGTGTATTCATTTGCTCTTCTCTAAGGAAAGATAAAGGTGAAAAAAGATGTCCAAAAGAGAAAATAACTGCCTTCTCTTTTCGAAAGCAAACCAAAACAAAAATCCCTAAAATTATTTGGAATTTAACATTATCTGCTCCAATGCAGCACAGTGGGATGAAGTACTAAATAACATAAAGCACGCCTGCCTGTTTAGCATATAAAATTTGGATGAAATGTCTCTTGGCCAGCTGACTGACCTGAGACATGAGTGCATCATGGCTAGAACACATGTACTCGGCTGGAATGTTTGTAACGAGGTCAGCATCACGAGTGGATAAGTTCATGCTCAGGGGCTGTTTCCTGTTTTTATAGACCTGTGGGAAAAAGCTGTAATGATTATATGCGTGAGGTCAGAGCATTGGGAATTCAGCACAGCAGCAAGGGTTTTCCTTAACTTTCTGTTACTGAGTGCATGGAGTTCTGCAGTATGTAATGCATGATACAGAATAAAGAATCATAACATTGACGATGCAGTATGCCCTAAACATTATTAACGTGGCATGCTCATTTGCAAAGTGGCATACTGCCTGACAGCAGAGTGGTTACTTTGACAGGCTAAGGAGACCAGAATGATTTTGCCAACGGTATTCTCCTCCTCAAGCAACAATGACAGAATTCAGTAATGTCACACAAAGGAAAACATCAGATACAACACCTTCAGACATCGTCTGAAAACAACTTTCTCATCTTTTTCACCTATTCTGAAAGAGGAAAGCTGTTTAACAACATACATGACACACAGCACAGGTCTTTAGTACCTAGATTACCTGAACATCCTTTGTCTTGCCTACAGTACCTCTTCTGGCTCTGACTATTACCTTTTAAAAATCAGGGGGAGTAGCCACTGCACACTATGCAGAGTTTTAAGTGTTTTAATTAGACAGAGAAGAGACCTATGTACTGTGTCTGGTACATGTGTACTGTGTCTAGTATGGTTATTTTCCTCATTAATAAAGCAAAACATAAATTAAATTCGCTTATGATAAAATCTATTTCTAGAGTTTGTAACGACATGGTTTTTTATTAAAACCTCAAATGACTTAGAGTGTTGAAGACAGGGTGATTTTTACTCATTTGAGAATTTATTTTAAGGATAATCACAATTTCCAGATAACTTCTCAGAAAGCCTGAAACCTTCTGAAAACACGATTATTTTACAACAGATAAGCAAATAACTGAACAGAAGAAGGTTAGAAAGAGTCAACAGATCTTGCTTGCAGAGGCAAGGAGCATCTGCTTTCCTCTGTCTCATATAATGAAAAAGGTTGGAAGCTATATGAGGAGGGAAAACAGAAAGTGTATTGCCTGCATATAATGTAAGCCAAGCAAACGTGCAGCTAAATACTAACAACCATAGAGAAGCAATACAGAAACACTTACATTGAACACCTCCTACCTTTCATAACTGCTGTCACATGTCAGACCTGGCTTGAAGACTTTCAATATGAGGTTAGAACAAAACATTACAAATGAAAATAATGCCAATTTTCTATTGCCATGAAAGCATGAAAATTAATGTCTCCCCACCTGCTGTTTTAGCTGATGTACTAATCTGTCCTTCTCTCGTTTAAGAGCCATTACTTCCTCTTGAGTCTTCTTTTTCTTTGAAGCGGACAGTTCAAGCAAGGCAATGTTTGCATCTTTTTCACTAATTGCAGCAAGCAAAGCTTCCTGTCTGATAAAATAAAAATTGTTATACTCTCATTAAAACAGAACATATACTACTAGATCACATTTCTTTTAACCACTGGGAGAACAATCAACTACCTTCTGAACACTCTTTAAACAGCAAACATTTTCAAGTGTAATCAAATCATGAAATAAACTGATTAGCCAAAAAAGTTCTCTTTATAGGTTTTTCATTATTCAACTATTTCCTAAAACACTTACCTCAGTCTATTTTACTACAATACGATATCGAACAATGTTTCTGTGAAATGTCTTGCTTTTAAAAATCTTTGGTATTTATTTTTTTAAATTCACTTTCCCGAATTCTAGAATATCTTACATAAACCTGTCGTGCATTATTCAAATCATACAGATTAAATAATAAAAAGCAAAGTGATACAGATAAAACATATTTTTATATTATCCTGTTAATTTGGTACCCTAGAGACCGCAGTACAGAAATCTCTGGACATCGTCCTCACATTTACTTAAATGTTTTCCTATGGATTTATTATTATTTGTTGTGTCACCACAAAACTATAATTCTAGAAGTAAAATACAACATCTAGAAAAGAAGTTCCTTGATCTAATTGTTCATGAGGAATCTTTTCTTTTGGAATCTTGACCCCTCAATCTCCATAAAGCAAAAAGAAACTTACAGCACTCAGAAACATATAGAATTACACAGAAGCTAGCAGGATCACATGGTAAATAGTTTGTGAGGGCATATGACAAAGGTAATTTTTACAACATGCAGTTGGAAACACAGATCTTGCAGTATCTCATTATTTCTTGTACTCTAAAATGCTCATGTTGGCAAGGCCATAATCTGTGCCTTATTTTCCTAAATAAAAGCAATATATTCCTCTTCTACAATGCATTTAATGACAGACCATGACTTATCAGCCAAGAAAAAGCATATAATACTTAATAGCTTTTAGAACAGAATGTGTTATGGCCTATGTCTTTTTCCAGAACTATATAAGATCAATCATTAAAAAATAAACATGGATAAATGAGCCATAAATTAACCTTAAGCTCCAACTGCTAATAAATGTAAGAATACGGCTCATGAACTTCATACAGTCAAGGTGAGCTAGAAGTTTGGAATTCTCACAGTCTTTCAGCTTGCCAGCAAAAATGTCAAGAAAGCTATTTCACTTTTATTTCAAAGTTCCTAAAGTATTAATGTAAATATTTAAAGGACAATATTTCTGATGGAGTCAAAGAAAAACAACTCATTTATTTTACTTTCAAAGTTACAAGACATGGATCAATTTTAGATAAACAGTTGCATTTTAGTCATACACTTAAATAGTCTCATTTATTATTCTGTCTTCTTCATTCTAATCAGAGTTAAATGATGTTTAAAAGAGGATGCCATAAGTCTCCAACAGTCTTAATTTAAATGAAAGCTATTAATTACTTTAAATAACAGGTATTAAAGAAAAAAAAAAAAATCAAAGGGTCACATATCCATAATGCTAATCTGAAATGAGATATAGGTATATTGTTTTCTATAAACCTCATAATAATGCATAAAACTTGCTGCGTGGTAATTTGTAAAAGACTGTTGGCGTTTTCACGTTATGCTCAAATACAATATCGATTCCTTAACACTTTCTTTAAAATCTTAACTTTTTAATGCACTGAAATAGAAGAAAGCCGATTTGCTACTGTATTCAACAATTCCTCTCACCTTGAAGAAAGCAGAGAATTTATGCACCATATAAAATCTAAATATGCCCTCTTTTGAGCATCTGGCTCAAACAGAAAGAAAAATGTAACACAATTTCAGCTTTTTGTCTGCAGTACCTTTGACATACAAGTCTGTACTTTTCTGTTTTAGAAATGTGTCCTAACTCTAGAAGGTGGGGTTTTTTCAGGGATGATAACATAAGCTTTCTCACAGAAAGCGTCAGCAACAGGTATTCTATGACTTTAAAGCCAAAGAAACAGTATATTGCATTATGTAAAATACTCTTTTTCTAAATTAAATAAGATTAGGTTAGTTCCTCTACAGTTCTCTGATAGCAGACTGTACTAAAATTATGAGGAAAGGTTAGTCAGAAGTTTTGACGATGTCCTGGCGGTTTGCATCAAGGAACATTTTCCAATTTTTAACTTGCATCAAGCAACAATTTTGTTCCTATTTTGAACATTATTTAAAGAAAGGTTTCACAATGTTCCTCTGGTTTTCAGCATATGTAGGACAAAGATTCACCCTGTCTGCAACTAACACCAGTGGGACTAAACTCTAATCTTTAATTCATGGTAATCATTGCTGTAAAGTAGGTACTTCTGGTAAACAGCAAAATATAAATCTATCTATACATTTATATATTCTATCTATAATTATCAGCCTAAAGATATACTTATTTAATACCTGAAAATAAACATTGACATAACCATCACAAACCCAACACACTCAGAATGAAAATAGGTAAAGAAATCTACATCTCAGAAATTCCAAGGTTTTTAAATATATTAAGATTAATTCTTAAGTTAACTCTATCCCAGCCAGACCCAATACATCTGCTCATCTAATAGCAAATTTCATGGTAAATACTTGCCATCTATGAGTTTTCTAATGATATATGTTATTTAATTATATGTAACATATATTACAGCTGTAAAAAGCCACAAACAGAATAAAAGTTTTAAATTGACTTGAAAACTACATGAAGCTATACTGAAATTTTACTTCTCCTCCAAAGTTTAGATTATTTCACTGCCTCAAAATTGGCAGTGAAAACACAAACCTGACTAGTGAGGAAGAAGAGTCAGAACTATTGAATTATTTGGTATCATTTCAACATCTGATAATGGGATTCACTCACATCCATCTTTTTTGTATTGCCAGCCAAAGTGTTCACACGTTCTTGTGGTCATAACTGTTCAACAGCACAACACTCTCTAGCCCCACTTTAAAGCAGCAGATGAGGTAAAACCTTCCACAGGAGAGGAGAGCCAGTCAACACGCTTTGAAAAATCTGCACTCTGGATTCTGCAGCCCCAAACCCACAAGATTTTGCAGACTCTAGCATGCTTTTTCTCAGCTGATGGTGTTGAGGGATTAAGAAAGCCAACCAGAAGTTATGAGAATGTTTTTGCAAGGGAAAGCTAACAAAATCTTTTTTCTCTATTGTCTTGCAGCTCACAGGATAATTGCATTCAGTATACTACTTCTCCTATCTTGGGAAAATAGGTAACCAAACATTTAATTTCAGGAAATAACCATTCATACCAAACACTTCCAGGAAATAATGATTCATAGTCATGTGAAATAGCTGCTGTCATATGACTCTGTAAGCGCCCCACTGAGACACTCTAAGATTTGAATCAAACCCACAGCACATACACAAGTTTGAATTGGCCCCCAAAAATTATTGCCAATGTATTTTTAAATTCTTATCTTTACAGTAAATGCAAGTGGAGTTGGGAGGCCTTAAAGCTACGAATGTTGAGAGACGACTACACAAGAATACAAGGATGAGGATTTCTACTGAAGTCCTTCCACAGCAATGTGGAACAATTAATACATCTACACAGATGGTCAGCTGAATGCAAACTCACACTGCCAGTACTCTTGAAGCCGCCTGAATGTGAGTCAGCTTCAGTTCAGAAGATGTAAAGCCTCATATATGTAAGAGACAAGATGTTTTAGCTTGGGCATAGTGCCACACAACATGCTGATGGCTTCCAGACTGGAACTGGCTCGCATACAACCGCGCAGAGTGTGGGCAGAGCAAGCTTGCATCTGTCTGCACCTGTCTGCACAGACATACTCCTGGAGTACGTCGGCATATTATCTGTGTCTATTATAATTGATAATCTGAACAGTAATAACCTCAAATATATAATCCAGTGGCATTTAACCAGGCATAACTCATTAACTAGAGTTGAGCAGAGCGAGACTGTATATTCTACCAAATGATACATGTTGGCTGCTTACATCCTTAGTAATTAACTACTTCATTACAGAGGGAAGACAGAGAGACCCAATAGTTTCTGTTATTATTTTACAGAGTACAAAATAAAGATGCAGGTTGTGACAGGGTATCTAAAAAAACCGAAGCGGCCTCCTTTACTTCTGCATGGCCTAGCATACTACCAGAGTTACAGTTCCTCCACTAAATCCCTGGGACATGGAATTTGAAAAATACCTTGCCCATGCTGGTGAGGCATCATAAGTGAAGAGATCCAAGCATTTATGAAGCAGCCTGTGGGTATAGAACCTGGAGCTCTACATTATCATATCTCATTTATTACATATCACACACAGGTTTACCCACGTCTGTGAAAGTTGTTGTGCTACCCTGTCAACATACTTCAGGTTTCCTATGGAAGAACCAAATCTGATGAACAGAAGCAATTTATTTTAGCTACCCAGTGACCCTGCTAAAAAATTAATATCACCATTTTTGCAAGAAACATTTCAAATTAGATTATCTGACCACTAGGAACAAGGCTAAGAAGCCAGCAAAACAACCAACACTAATGACTTTCTCACTTACAAACATGAAGTAAACTTCATTCAAAAGTGTAAGCAGGTGGCAAGGTCTTCGTCTAAGTCTCTCAGGTGAGTAATACACTTCTGCTTTGCTGCTAGAAACAGAAAGTCATCATGTGTTTCTGTGCAAGAATTTTTGAAAATCAAAACCTGAACTGGCACCAAGAGCAACATACAGTCTGATACACTCTCCAGCTAACATGCTTAATAGTGCAAGCGTAATTTATAATTCCTAATTATCTACTGTGTCAGGAAAAAAAAAGACTATCCAAATACAGTTCTATAGAGATGTTATCACTATTTGCAGCCAAAATGTCTCCTTATTGTTTAATAAATTATGGTAATAAAATACATTTTAAAATAATTTATTAGAGCACTGAATTAAATGACATTCTTTAACAGTAATATTTATAAAGAGTAATCCTTTTTGCTATTAGTAGTTTTTCCTCTCTTTTTTGGCAAACTAATCTGTTATACAAATAACAGGGTAGTAC